TCTGTTAGACGCTCATTCCCTTACCTCCTCAATATCTCTGTCCACTCCAGGCCTTTAGCTGCATTCGAATTGCAACTTTGCAACTCTCTCTCTTTATCTATTTGTTTAATTATTTAGTAAATATACATGTATTTATTTCAGTGAGCTAGTTCTTCAATCATTAAATGTAAATGGTTCTTCAAATAGAACAAGAAGAGGAAATTTATCAAGAGAAATGAATACAAAGAACACATACAGTTTAGTAAACTGGTTCTTTTCCTCTCCTCTTAAAATAGGAAAAGAAAGCATCAGTGAACTAGTTCAGACATCTAAGCTATTACAAATATGAGCCAATTCCGCGAGCTCTTCAAATTGAGGAGAGGAAGGCATGAGCTAATTTTTTAAAATTAAGTAAATGATATCTTCAAATGGAAAGTGACGAAGAATGTTCTGGGTATTACCTGGGCTTTCTCTAAATAGAATGTAAAGCTCTATCTGCGAGTGAAAAGCTAAAAATATCAATTAGAAATGAAGAGGAAGAGGAGCGCATGAGCTTAGGAAATTTGTGTGAGGGGCATGGAGACAGCTGGAGATGTGGCTAATGAATGCCAAGGCCCACACACACGTGAAGGAGGCGGCTGGCTGACAAGCTGAGCCATAAGTCATAAGAGTCGGCGAAATAGAAATGGGGAAAAGAAAAATGCGAAGTGGGAAATGGGACGTGGGGAAGCGCGCACAAAGAAATATTTGTCAATGCAACGAAATGGAAAGTTTGAGGTGGCACGGCTATTGAAATAAGCAGCCGAGACGCAGAAACAACAAACAAGCCCGAGCAGGTGGGGGAGCGCGTGCAACCAGAGGGAGCTAGACGAAGAATGGGGCGGCTGCTGAATAGAAAAAAAAAAAAAACGTAGAAGAAGAAACTGGAATCGAGGATGTGCGTGCATGTTGTAAAAGTGAAATGAAGTGATGAAGGCGAACTGAAGATGGAGCAGGGGACGGCAGCAGCAAGAGCTGAGCAAGGAGATGAAGTTGCAGAGACGCTTTTGTTCTGACCTGTTTTTCTTTTTTTTTGATTCCTTTTCATTTTGTTTTTTATTTTGTACTTGTGCATGTGTCAAATTCCCGTTTTTTTCGAAAAACTGAGATTGAGGGAGGAGACGGTGCTGCACTTGAACTACGTTAAATAGAGAGGAGCATAGAGTGTGCGGGGTGGAGAGTGGGAAAGATGGAAGGCAAGGGGTTAGCACGTAAGTTGGCAAGAGGAAAGAAGACGCATGGAGTGAGAGAGAGGGAAGGTACGCAAGCTAGAGTAAAGGGTTAAGATAGGAAGAGAGAAAGACAGACAGAGAGCGGGAATCATGCATGTAAGTTGGCACTGCAAACACACACACACACACACACACACACGTATATATATATATATGCGCTTATTTCTTTGACAAGGGCAGCTGCGCTATTAAGGGATGCAAAATGCAAGTGATTGCAATGTCGTTAGGGGTTTCTCTACTTTAGATGCAAGGAGTGGGCAGCTGTAGGCCGAGGGCGTTAAGAGGGGGATAAATGATGCCTCTAATGATGTGCTCCCCATGTACAGATGCTTCTGCTCCTTCTCCTACTCCTGCTGCTTAGGCAAACAAACAGTGAGAAAGCAAAGTGGAGAGCACGAGTTTTGTTATTTTTGCGCCTCGAAGTATGCAACGTTTTATTTGCATATTCATATTGTAAAGCACCAACACATCTAAATACTAACATGTGTGTGTGTGTGTGTGCGTGTCTGTATGTGTATCTATGTACAGTTTACACCAAATCTTGCTGCGTAATGAGCTTTGAGCAGTTCAAGTAAAGGATTCGGCATCTCTCGCTGGGGTCAACCCTGTTTTTTGGATCCATTTGCAATGTACATACACATGTACATGTGCATATGTATTTATGTTCACATATGTAGTAACCTCAACTCCTCTTTTTTGTTTTTGGTCTCATTGTTTAGTGGGTTCTCGTTTTTGTTTTGTTGTCTTTTATTTTAATTTTTTTTGGGAGTTTTCATTAGAAACTTTTTTTTTTTTTGCGCCAACATCATTTTCTGAAAATGTCAAAACAAAAAGGGTTCACACACACCAGCACACACTTATAGAGATACGCACACACACATGCATACACTCACATAGAGATAAGCACGCTCGCAGATTTAGATATTTTAGACATGCGTGTGCACTTCCGTTCTCGTTTCCACACACACACATATACACATACACAGAGACCCACGCGCACATCCAGCATCGCTGTGGGTCTGTTTCTGACAAGCCCCTGCCTGGCGCCACACCCCGCGGCCCCGCTAACTAAACATGCTTAATTAGAAAGTAGCCGCGGCGACTGCGACTCGCCGTCTCATTTTTCACTGACCAGCACACATTAGAGCTGACTCATTGCCGGCCTCCGACGATGGAGCAAATGAACCGGAGTTAGTTCAGCGTTGATCAGAATAAAGGCGCTATATAGGATCATTCGTGATCGACTCAGTGTTCAAATGAACTGTTTAATTGCACGGCCTGAACGAGTTGATCAATCTGATATTTGATTAGCTCATTGCATTTGCTGCTCACTAAGAGCAAGTGCAAGCAGTAAGATAATGTGGACTGTTGGAACTACCTGATCATAGTGAACTAGCTCGTCAACTGTACCTACAGTTCTCATTAAGCTAGTTCACAAAGTCCAACATAGTCTGTTACGCAGCTAGCTCCTTGAACTAGTTCATACTTTCAACCTTTCCTAATTAACACATTGAACTAATTCAAATTGCAAATTGAACTATTATTGCCAGACCTAACTGAACATCTGAACCACCCAACCACCCAATCGCACAGCCAGCCACTAAATGTAGCGGACGCCAGCGCAGATCCTTGCAGAGACCCCAGTAGCTCCCCGCCCTTCCTTCCTGCGCGGCCCGCCCCATGCCCTCCCCCGCCTCAGCTGAGATGACAACATTTTCGGGTTAGCTGCGCGTCGCAGTTTGTCTCAGTTTGCGTTGATGGGTTCGAACCGCCGCTGCTCCTGCCTCTTTGGGGTAGGGCAGGAGCAAGGGGGACTGCTCATTATGTGGAGCGTGGGCTCTGGCTGCGGCTGTGGCTGCCGTTGCGGCTGTGGCTGTGACTCGCATTTGGGGCGCATTCGCGTCCGCCACGCACATATGAATTTGTTGAATTAATCACTTGGGTTTTGGGCCTTGCTCCCTTTTTTTTCGGTTGCTTTTGGACTCAGTTTTAGCCTGGCCAACACCCACACACCTACACACCCACACACCCATACACCCAACCATACACACACACGCACACACACATTGACATGGGCATCGCTCTAGGCATATTTGGCGAGTCCTCCTCTTCCGCTTCTACATTATGCAGCGATCGATAAAAAGTTTTACCAAACCTCCAGTCGAGCCGCTCGACATGTGAAATGTGTGAAATGCGCGCATTAAATAAAAAACGCCAAAAAACGAGTAAAAAGTGAAAAAGTAAAAAATGGAAAATGGCAACAAAAAAAAAAACAACAAACATAAAGCGAACTGAAACCAATTTAAAAAGGGGTATCTACCCCAAAAGCCTAGCTAGGGTAGCATTTTTATACATACATTGTAATGCCGACTTTTAAATCGCCACGAAAGGTGTAGCAAACCCGCCTCCGCGTCAACACCCACTGCCCGCCGCCCGCCGCCCACTGCCCGCTGCTCAGTGGCCACTGCAGTGGTCAGTGCCCCGCCCTCTCGTTAGGCAATCGGTGCGCGGGCATGTTTTAGATAAGGTAAATAACTGCGATTGTTTGGAATTTTAATGTAAATGTTTTTATGCCACATCCACAGCCATTTCCATGTACATGCTCGCGTCCTTAACCGTGTCCGTGTGCCCGCGGATCAGCGGGCTTTCACGATTCCTAAATGGAAACTGTGACCACTTCCGCTCACCTGCCGCAGCATTAGCTAAATGTATATACATACATATATTGTATTAGATATGTACAAGTACAATGCACGCATGTGTTACATGTACACAAAGATACATACTTATGTACATGTGGACATAATCCTACATAGATGTGAAGCAGAGTGGGACCAGCCTCTACCCATATATTCCGTCTATGGCATTCACAAGTCGTCTTGGGCAGTTCACTTTCCTTTATAATATGTATGCATATACATACTCCTACACATTCACATACATATATACATATACATCCTTCCGAGTTGCTTCATCTCGTTAACTTGAACATTTCTTGCTTTGCCAGAGATCAGTCAACAGATCTGATCAGATAATTGGGATTGGATTGAATGATAAGACGAATGTATCACAAGCTGACTGTATCACATAAGCTGATCCTCGCTCTGAAATGCGACCTCTTTTTTAACAGCTCATGTTCATGTGCTATGTATAGACTCTAAATGCTTTACTCATGTCCTCGATCTTGTACTCGATCGTCTTGTCGATGGCCATGCTTGAAGTTGCACATCTTGAGTTGCACATGAGAATTTACTTTATTCCTTGTCTATGATGCTCCTTTCCTTCTCCTTTTCAAGTCATGTTAATTTGTTCTGCGAGAGTATTGGGCAGTGAAATGCCTTCCATTGGAAGTGTTGCTAACTCTTTTGTTGCCATTAGATTTGTCGGGCTACTGAAGGGAACCGGAACTAGTTCGTGCAGCAACATGCAATTTAATAATTTGGTGCATTTCATTTATTATGATTTTTTAATTATATTTGCCAAAGGGGGCCATGAAAGCAATTTGAGCATAACTGAGAGCTAAAATGAAGATAAAAGAAGTAACTAAAAATCAAAGGCGCTGATAGGTCTGTGTGTGTGTGTGTGTGTATGTGTCCGTGTGATGGGTGTGTGTGTGTGTGTGTAGCCGAATTTGAAACTCAACTGCATTTGTCTTTGAGCTTGTCGTCTGTCAACAGGAAAAAAAGAGATGAAAAAGGCAGAAAAGTTAACATAAGCAAACCGCAAATGCAGACACACACACGCACACACATAGACACACACACACATACACACAGAGAGCTCTCACTCGAAAAGCCTTGCGGAAGTGCAATTGCAATTGCAACGGCGCTCACAAAGCATTCTAACATGATTTTAATTACAAGCCCCAAACTTGTGTCACACAAAACAACTTTGGCCACCCCCCAGTGCGGCAGATAAAGCGTCGAGCCCAAGCTGGAGCCTTGCCGAGCGGGCATGCGCGACTGCCCAATGCACGTGCACAGAAACCGAAAGGAGGAAGAGAACTCATGCAATTCTCAAATGGGCCACGCCTCAAGAGGCGTAGTCGAGCGCAATTAGAGTGAGGTGCCGAGGCAAGACACAGAGACGTTGTGTGAAACGAATATGCTCGCTTGTGGCACATGGGGCGGCAGCATGGAAAAAAGCAGCAACTGAAACGGAAACAGAAACAAAGCGAAACGTGTGAAGTCCTCAAATCGCTCGCAGCGAGTTGAAGCTGACAAAATGTTTCGCACTTTTTATTTTTTTTTTATTTTTCGCCAGCCTCATTTCATTGTGGCCTTGTGGCAGTTGCAGTTGGTGCTGCTCTCCCTCCTCCTCCTGCTTCTTCTGCTGTTGGTGCTGCTCCTCTCCTCTGTTGGTCCACTGCAAAGGCAACCGGCACACAGCCCTGGAAGGTACCCAGCCCAGCCCCCCCACACAGAGCAGAGTAAAGTTCTTCTGTGCACTCCCCATGCTTTGCCTCGTGGAAAGTCTGCCGGCCTTTTGCAGGAGTCAGCTCTTCGACTTGAGCCTAGCCCAACTTTTAATCTAATCATCATATGCATATCTAGTGCAAGGGAAGAGCTAATAATCATGGTGGTATATCAGTCTCAGGAGGCAAAATGCTTGAGAGCTAATGCCACAAAGTATAGATTTATATCATATATCATATCATATTCAAACCCAAAAAGACTCTCGAAACCAACAATTAGGGGATATGGTCTCCGACAGGTGATAGGCCTTAGCTCGCATAGCTCAACTCATAAAATCAACTTATGTAGATCATCTTTGTAGGCAAATCGGTGGGCTTCAAAGTTATGGTAATGCTTCAGAGTCTCAGATGAGCTACCGAGCTAAATGAACTAGTGCATAAAGTAAACTATAGAATTCACTCGTTCTCAATGATTGAACGAGTTTTTCGAATCATCGAATTGAATGAGTTAAAAATGAAAATAGTAAACTAAAATGAATTAGATCTTTAAAACTAATATGGTATGAAATAATTGAGCTATAACATTCATTTGCTTGTGATATATTGTTTCGCTGGCATATGGAACTAGCTCTTATTAGCTCTTCATATTGGGTTACCTCATGGAATTGTGCGTACCAAATGTAACTAGTTCTGGAATCTAAGTGAACTCAAACGAATTAGAAATGTTCAACTGGTGTATTTGCTCTTCAGATTAGCTTAATTAAACTAGTTCAAAGCCAATATCATTTTCAGTTTTACTATGAAGACATACTATATGTATATATACAGTCTGTACAGTCTCTTCCAGCTATTCAGATCTAAGGTGATTTTGTGGATATTATGCAACAATTAAATTTAGCACAGAACTGGAGCGCAATGGCAGTGGGAAACGCCGAGAAAACGCTGTAAAAATTTTAAGCGTTTCATTTTCTGTTGTTGTCTCTTTCTCTCCCTCTCTCTTGAGTATGCCGCCAGAGGGCGCTTATACTTTTAATAGGCCTATGGAAAGGTTGGGTGAAAAGGCTGGTTGAAAATGTTGGGAGTAATGCGGGCTCTGCGTTATATTATTTTGACAACTTTTTGTTGGTTCAGTGCAAAAAAAAAAAGAAAAAAAGAAAAAGAGATGACGAAGAAGGCACATATATACAGCAGCGAGTACATACGGCAAATGTGCTATATGTATATATATACGTACATATGCGTGTGGGTGGTTGGGTGCTTGCGACACACACGCACACGCACACACATACACATCATTGGTGGCATGTGCATAATCAAGCCGATAGGCGGCATAGGCCCGAAATCGAAAGCCGAAAACTGCAGCCAGAACGAACGAGAACGAGACTGGGCAGCGACAGCGGCGAATGGGGAGGCAGGGGAAGGAACAGCTGGAGTAGGAGTAGTAGTAGGATAAGGAAGAGGGGGAGCAGACGTAGAATGATGACGGCGAATGCGCAGCTATAGCCGCCTGGAATAGTGTCCGAAAGTGCGTTGCAAATGAGCAAAAAAAGGCCACGCCCGGCTCTGCTGGCCCATGTCCTGGCAGCAGCGACTGCAGTTGATGTTGACGTTGTTGTTGTTGTTATTTTTGTTGTTATTGCTGGCATAGGCCGTGTATGTGAACGTGTTGCTGCGTTACCTTTCTGCCTGCCTGCCTGCCTGCCTGCCAGCTAGCCAGTCAGCCAGCGTTACTCCTTTATTTGGTGTGCCCGTTCAATGAGTGCTCAGGAGAGTATATTGGCTTCGCTGTAATGCACATCTGTCCGTCCGACTATTAAAACTATAGAGCTGCGAAACTTGGAGAAGTATACAATGGCCGTAAGATCAGGGCTTTCACTGTCATAAGGGCAATAGAATTTCAAACATTGCTGAAGGCTCAACAGCCATACATATGTAAGCTAATGGCGTAGTATTACCCATAGGAAACCTGGGAAAATGCAATATTATCTGCTCAACTGTTACCAAAAAGAACGGTTTGAGCATGCATTGTGCAGTTAGCTACGTCCGACTGCAACGTGCAACTTGTTTCCTTTAGTCTTCTCGGTTTTTTTGCCTGCAAAATTTTAATGGATTTTTTTTTGTTTTTATGTCGGGTTTTACTTTATGCACATGGATTCTCTTTTTTTATATATATATATTTTTTGGTTGATTTTTGATGTTTTTTTGTTTTCTGCTTGTCTCATCATGATGAGCATTCCCATCTCTCTCTTCTTCCTCTTTTTTTGTATTCAAGCAGATAATTACATTTAAATAAAATAAAAATTTCATGTGGCGCTAGGTAGAGTCAGCCATATAGACATACATATATATGTATATATACGTATATATATGTGTATAAATATCTATATAGTAGTCATAGCCAGAGCCCACTCACCCTTTGCCTATTTTCCAGCTGCACCCGCACTTTCTGGGCGCTGTGAAGCTGCCCGTTGGCCTCGTAGACGTTTTGTTTGGTTTTTGTTGGCATGTTATTATACCCTGGGTAAGTGAAAAGATTGGGCGTATTGGGTTTTATCGCAGCTGTATGTCAAAAGTTGAACACATTTGAAGATTCATTCAAGATAGCTGACGTGGACTGCCTCGATCTGCTCCATTCTACGGTATGTCTGTCTCTCTGTAGATACTATATATAACTATATATCTAAGACACTAGAAACGTCCACTAACTCAATGCAACTCGTTTGCCTGATATCCTTTTAGAAGGATACTTTTCGAAATATATTTCGAAATATAACTTAAATACTCGATGGTGATCAATTTCTCAAAATGAATCCAGACCTTAGGCATATTTTAGACACTGAACCAATTCCGTTCACGCACGAGGATAAATTTCTTGGGCAGACTTTCGAGACATAGTCTGGGTATCTATTAGTCAGCCAGCCCCGCCTAGAGCACACCTACTTGTTTCATAATTCATTTCATTGCGTTGTTTGACTTACGCCCAGAACTGCAACTGGAGCTGGAGCAGGAGCTGTAGCCTAGCTGCAGCATTTGCTTGTTGTGTTGTCACAGTGCCGCAAATTGCGCCGCATTTGTCTGCTCTTTAGGCTGGCTCATCTGACCATGCCAGCTGCACCAATATACAAGTCATTCGCCCCAACTCCTCTCCCTCACTCACCCTCTCTCTGTATCTCTCACCTCATTCTCTCGCTGCCCCTCTCGTTCTCTGTTTACCAACTGCAGTCAAGTTGCCGTTGTTAATGCTAATTGCCAGGTTTCTACGGCTTCTGCAGAGTCGCTCGTTATGTCCCCTCGAGTGTTGGCCGCTCTTTGGGGTCATTTCTGATTCTAAAAGTGTTGCAGTCCAAATATTAAAAATAAGTATATGTATATATATAACATTTGGACAATACATATAAATCTGTTAATTTTCTTCATCTTCTTTTGCTATTCTGCAAAAATCAAGCGAGAGCTTGAAATATTCTTGTAAGCAATCTTTCGATTGTTCGTGTAGCTAATTCCACTTGCAAATAGATTCTCGATTCGTTTTTGATTCTCCATTATGTATTCATATATGCTTTGCTTGGCATACAGAATATGTACGTTAAATGGAATAGGACATTGGAATCATAATTGGGAACTAGCCCAATTAACAGGGTACTTTAATTGACCTGACTTGATGAAATATTGAACTACTAATATTAGACTTACTGACTTTTCATCAACTTGAAATAGCTCTTAGTGTAGAACTAGTTTCTCTGCTTGCAGTAGTTCAATACGCAGTTGTTCACACACTAGCTCATTGAGCCGAACTAGTCTCTTAAATTAAACCTGACGATATTTAACTAGCACATGGAGCGATTCGGCTATTTCACCAAATTCGAGCAGTTATCTAGTTAAATAAATTTAACCATGCTTCAACTCAAATTCAACCGTAATCGAGTATAAAGAATCAATCGTAATTAAGCTCTAGGTGTAAGCGCTTAGGTAGGAAATTCGTCGCGCTCCGATTAAATATGTACCACAACCAAATGGCATGTCGCTCACGAAAGCAAAGAGATAAATATCACCGAGACGATGTGCTTTGGCTCTACCATTGCCGCCCTTGCACTGGTTGAGCAATTGTTGTCAAATACAACTCTACTTCACTGCTAAAAACAGTAATTAATGCATATAAATAAAGTGGCTCACTGGGCGTATACTTAATATGTTTCTGATTCTCTAGGCATAGAGTGTGGAGTTACTCATACTTGCTGAACATGATTAATTATATGAAGTACTCTTGCTTGCCTTATTCTGAAGCTTGACTGAAAAGAGCAACAGAAATGGAGCGCATGTGAGTGTGTGTGTGTGTTGGAAAGAGATATATA